AAATAAAAACACCAACAACATTGTCCATGTGAATATAACATTTTATGTACTTGATGAGGTTTTACAGAATAGCCTGTTTGTTACCGTAGAGATTTCGGCCAAAGCAGATTTTGGAATTTTTTGTTCTGAATAGAATAGACAGGTTTAAACAAACAATGCTGGATCATAAAAATCCTCACTTTTCTTTTTTTTTTTTTTTTTACAAATTTCAATTATTCAAATATGAAACTAAACTTAAAAACACAAAAACTGGAAAAAAATAAAGTGGAGATATTTTTTTTCCTCAACCAAAAACGTCTGAGCCAAAAAATGAGAAAATTTAATGTTTTTTATCATTAATGAGAGAAATGATGAGATTGATATCCAATAACTGCCAAACATTGAAATGATTTTTTTGGCACTACTTAAATTCATTGGTCCACTTAATTATTTAAAAAAAAAAAAAAATTATTTGATGGGGAATAATTTTGTAGATCAGCATTCATTAAAACTTTCATGACATTTGTCAGAAAAATATATATATTTTTTATCATTTTAGAAGGGGGGTCTTGTTCCTAATATAAATACAGACTCAAATCGATCCATGACTTCCTGAATTTTCAGTACTTTGTTTTTAAACAAGTTTAAAACTGTTTATGTCATCGATATCTGCTTACTATTACAAATTAAGGACAACGTCAATAGCATGCAGTTATCAATGTTAGCACAATTTCAAACCAGATATTTGTAAATAAAAAAATAAATATCAATTGACTATGTATTTATATCATGAACAGGACTCCCTGATAATTTTTTTTATTCTGATAAATGCCATGCATAGAAGTTCTAATGAATACTAATCTACAAAAAAAAAAAAACTTCCATATTTTGTTTTCTTTTACAAGCAGACAAGTCAGTTTAAGTAGAGCCTATTTCCCCACCCACCATTCATAGAGTTTTTTTTAACAAGGAATAAAATTAATATCACAAATGGCTAAAAGAAAATTTACCAACTAAAATTCAGCCCAGCAAATCTTCTGGCAATTAGGGGAAGGAAATGATTATCCAGTCGTCAAACTGCTGATAGGAAATATTTTAAATTGATTTACACAGTTAATTTTTGATTTTAATCAACAAAGTTGTTTTTTGAAATATTGAAAACTTTTGAAGACATTTTAAGATTTAGCAATTTCCTTGTTTCCTGTTTAGGACTGGGTTTCCAGTTCCTTCTAAAGTCTACTTCAACTTTCTACTTCTAATGTCTGTTTGAAATCTAAAATTTTATTTACTAATTATTTTTTGTTTTTCCTCCACAAAAGGAGTAAATAGGTGAATCTATCACCTGGTTCACACTCCTTTCTGATCTTTTGAACAGGAGTAGTTTATCCAAGAGGGTTTATCCCTAGTTCCCTGTTTAAGATTGGGTTCAGGTTCCTTCTAAAGTCTTTTCATTCTCTTTCACTCCCAATAGCTCCTCCTTGCATCTTAGTGGCATTATAGCTTTGCTTGGGGTGAATTGATAAAAACAAAAAAAGAAAAAGTAGTTGGCTTTTGAAAAATATATTTTAGAAAAACAGAAAAATAATAGTAAAGTTAATGATATCAGGGTTTTTTTTTTTATGAGAAGATCATCCACAAAGCTTAACAGAAGACGTTTTGAAATGCTTTCCAAGGACCATGTCTTTTACAAGGATTTTCACCACAAAAAATTGCAATTACTTTTCAAGAAAAACAATTTATAATTGGATTTCTGCTCATAATTTATATGAAATTAGTGTTTTCAATAATTATACATATAATAACATTATTCTATCAATAATGCTTACATTAATTCCTGACCACTGACAATACTTTTGAATTTTCAATGCAAACCATAGTGCTGAAAAACAAAACTTGCTCAAACAAATTTTGAATTTAAAAAAATTGTTTTAATAATCAAATTTCCCTTTTAAATGTTACTACAGGGATTTTTATTCATTCATAGCACTGTTAACAATATTCATCTCCTTACACCAAGACCAGCATTTACCAACAGTAGGCTATTACAAATTCTTCTGTGAGAGTAAGGTCTAAATGTACTTTTTGTACTCTCTATGAAAGAAGTTAATAATTTGAACACATTTTCTAACAGAAGATAATTACATAATCAATTTTTTTTATTTATTATGCTATCTGCTCATAATGGAAAATTTGCTATCTTCTTACAATATGTTTTGCATATTTGCTTTAACACTATATAATCAGGAAATCAATGAAAGTTATAAAGTCATAAATTTTACTTGTGATATCAATGGCTGTAGAAACAACTTCTGGGTTTTAGTGACAAAAAAAAAAAAAAAAAATGGCATTGTTGATAAGTGAAAAATAAAAAATATCTTTACCATTTGTTATCTTCTGTCTTCTTAATTCTTGTTCTTTTATTATTCTCTCTGCTTCATAAGGTGTTTTTTTCTCATTCTCTCATACCCAGTAACCCCCTTGTGTCTTAGTGGCTTTATTGCCTTGATTGGGTTGAAATGATTAAAAAAAAAAAAAAAATTATAAGATAACACCAACCAACTCCTATTTATTGCTACAAATAGGTGAAACCTTTCTGATTTAAAAAAAAAAAAAAAAAAAGTTAATTTCTATAGTTTAGAAGAAAGATCCACTTTCAAAACCAGTTCTTGTAAATCACATATATTTTCCTGTTCTGCAACATTATCTACAAAGTATTCACATGCAAATATTTTTAACAATAGGATTTTAAAAATCACAGATGAACAAAACACATAATTATTTACATCTATTTCCTGTTAAGGCGTTCCACAAACCAAAACAACAAACCTCCAATTTATTTATTTTATTTTTTTCTTCTGAAATCTGGATTTTTCTGGGTGGATGGGAAAGGGATCTGTCAACTGTGCTGAAGACAACATTCATATGCCACAAGAACTTGCTTATTGGATGAAAAAGAGAGGGAATCTTTGCAGTTAATCATTTTTGTCAAAGCTTGGGAGTGGGGAGAGAAAACAGAGGGGAAAGAGAAAAAAAAAGAGGAAAAAATGCAATTATTTTAAAGAATGGAAAATATAGCAAAATCATTCTAAAACCCTTCAAAATTGTAATTTTTCAGTACGGCATTTTATAGAAATTACGTAGTGATTGCAAAATTAGAATTTTATTGTATAGATCATGTGCTACCTTCCAAATTATATTTAAAATTTAATCTTATAAGCATCTATTTTTTATATGTTTTCTATAACTTCAAATCTGTGCTTAGTATAATGGTTATTATCATGGAATGTGTCACCTGAGCAGAGTTCAAATTCCAGCCATGTCTGTTCCATTCACTTACACACCCATGTCCCATGGGAGAGGTGCAAATCTATCTCTTCTCCTCCACAGTCATGGGTTGAATAGTGTGATAACTAACTCTCAAGCCTTGGGTGGGCAATAATCTACTATTCTGAATTCAAAACTGAAGGTGGCAACAAGAAACCATTATATTTCCCCAAGAAGTCATGGTAATTTACAGATAATAAAGAAAAAGGAAGCTGTGGCTAGCCATGATCATCTATGTCCTGAAGGACTATGGCTTTTGAACATTAACTTTTAAACTTCATACTGGAATGTTTCAATTGCCAAATGTAAATATTTTCACAAAAAAAAAAAAAAAATTAGGAGTTTAGCTGATATACACATACAGATAGAATTTATTTTTGTAATATTTAAATATAATGGCAAAGTTTTGTTTGTCTTGAAGTTAAAAAAAAAAAAAAAATTTCAGATTGTTTTATATGATTTATAAACATTGGTTTTGGAAATTTACTGTTACTTATTCATCTTTCTGTTTGTTCTGAAGTAAAAATGATTTTATGAATGTTTCAAGAACTGGTTACTACTAATTTATGTCAGCTAAGTTTATAGAAAAAATAAAATTTTTCAAATGTAATATACAAAAAGTTTAAACCAGATTCTTTTATAAAAGCATATTTGCAAATAAGTATAAATTTCCAGATAAAACAAAAAAGATTGGAAACAAATAAATATATAACTTCACATGTATTTTTAAATGAAAATTTTCTTTAATGCATTTTTTTAAATAAAAAAAGGGACCAGAATATATTTATTTAGTCATTAATATTTACTATTTTCAGAAAACAGGGCATTATTAATATTTTGTTTCTTTAGGTATATTAGTATATTTTTTCATCAGCTTGGTATTTTTACAGGTTGCAAAAAAAAAAAAAATCTTCAAATTTATTTTGCTACAATTAATTATGCAAATAAACGTTTTTTTTCTTAATAAGCTGTTCCATGATTAAATACATAATTTAAGCAAGTTTATAATTCATATTAGGGAGCACTTAAAACAATTCTATGCATTTTTACAGGATTACCCCACCCTTTAGATTTTCTTTAAAGTATTCTTCAATTTTACAAATTTAACAACAGTCTATTAATAATTTCTCCAAAATTTTATGCATACTGATTCAAACTCTACAAAATATCTTTTTGCATCACTGACAATTACAAAACAGATTATTTTTAGTTAAACAAAAAAAAAAAAAAAAAAAAAAAAACAATGAAAATGTTTCTGACAATGACAGCCATTTTTACAAATAAGATGATGATTGGTCAAGACAGCAACCAATGAAAAGGTAGCATAAGATATTAAAGATAACAAAAGGGTGTTTTGATATCATTTTCTAAGTCTAATTCCGTATATAATAGCCCACAAAAAATATACACAGGATGACAATGAACAGCAGAAGTTTTCAGCACAGATTCAGTTTGGGGTGATAGAGTTCTAAAATTCCAATATCACTAGTCTAGCCACTTTTGTCCAGTTAAAGAGATAGGCAGAGAAAGGAAAAAAGATAGGGTCTGGAAAAAGAGATGAGGAGAGATAGAGAGATGAAGGAGGAAAAAGAGTGAGAAATACAAACAGAGGAGGAGTAATATTATGTGGAAGAGAAATCAATCAGTTGATTTTCACCACCATCATGGCACTGTACCGTATTTCCATAGCAGAAAGATTAGAAGATTGGAATGTAACTGTCAATTTTGGCCCGATGACGCTGAGCCACACACTCAGCAATCCAGATAATGTTGCGGCATTCTTGTTCCTTAAGCTTCAAGTAAGAGTAGAAGACTCCATAGTGGAATTGGTGCATAAAGGCATTCCTCATCAGTTTCACCTGTTTTTTTTTTATAAAAAAAAAATATTCAAATTTAAATTGAGAAGAGTAAATGTACAGTAGATGATAATAATAATAATATAATTAACAAATAGTTACTCAGTTATTATGATTATCCTCACCTTTGTTGTTTTGATTACTTTACTTCAAACAAGAGTGTCTCCTATTATAGTCTCATGTAATTAATATTACGAATGTATATGCTTATAAAGCTCCATAAATTTCAAGATTAGTTATTCCAAAATTTGCTTGAGGATGAAATAGAGCTGTTTTTTTAGCTTCTATTTTTGAAATATGAGAACTCTTATGTAGCGATGGTATCATATTTTTAAAAAATAATTATATATATATGATGGACTCTCCCGTCAAGTTCGATGTATGAGGTTCCGATGACCACAACTGCATGCCTATGACAGGCATGACTTTTGAGACCAGCTCGAGAAGTGCACAAAATACCACAAACAGTACAGTAGAATGTATTGTATCCAAGTGTAGCAGGAACACTGTTAGCTGTCTTATTTTGCTTTTGTGTTTCATGTAGTCGACTGATGTCTACTTCTTGATGGTGCATTATTCCTGAATGGCAGCTAGAACGATACTCTGATCTCTTCATAGCTACCTCTTCAAAGTTCTTGAATGGAAATATTATATATATATATATATATATATATATATATATATATATATATATGAGCTTATCTCGGTGAAAAACTAGTAATGATTTATGAGTTGTGCATCATTTAGAATTGTTTGTATTTTGGACTTTGCTCTCACTTGTGCATTTCTTTCTTTTTTTTTTCAACCCATTTTATTTATCTTGCAAGCCACTAAAGGGTTGGGACCCAAAGTTTGAAAAGCCCTGCATTAGACCAAACCCAGTGTACTTGATATTCAATAAATATCAATGAAGGAACACTAATCTTTCAAGTAAAATTGGCTATAAATGGATACAAATTGATCCAGTTCACAAATTGTGTTTGTAAACAATGATAAATAAAAAAAATTAACAATTTAAAACATTACTTAACATGTTCACCACCAATTATTTTTGGAAAATCATTTCATTTACTGACAAATTTTTTCATTTGTTTTTAATACAGTAATTAAGAAACAGAACCTTGAAGTACCCGAGTAGTGGCTAACATTTCTACCAGACATGAGTTGACAATTAAGACTTATTTCAAGCTCAGAAGGGCAGAAAAAAAAGATTGTCATATAAGCACATAGCTGGTTTTTAAATGTTATGTTTTGGATGTGCTTATTTGTCAGTGTCTGATAAAGATACTCTTGGTAAAAATGTATGCACGCATCTACACTGAGAAATGGGTTAAGTTTCATTTGCAAATGGTGGTACTTAACTTTTCTTTTACTCGCAAGGGGAGATAACTTTGATTTAGTTAAATACATCAGCTAAGGTGTTTTAAATATAATCTAATACAGGTTGAGAATCCTTTATCCAAAATTCTTGGGACCCCAATTTTTTCGGTTTTCTGATTTTTTTCGGAATTTTGAATACAGGCTATTTAATTTGTATACATGAACTACATGAATTTAAGCATGCTACTAGATTGGCATCTAGATTTCCCCCCTTTTACCACTGAAATAGTTAAATGTAACCTCCATTTCTACTCCAAGTTTCTTTTCTTGCACTTCTCACCTGTTGAACTCCCTTCTGTTTACTCGTTTCCCTGACAAAGTAAAATCTTCAAAAATTTAAATGTAATGTCAATCCCCATCTTCTGTCGTCTTGAACCCCATTCATCTTTTGTCTTCCTCAGTCCACCCTGTACCCGGTCTTTGCTCTCACTTTCACTCTCTGTAACCCCCTGAATACTAGTGGTATTCCCATCTTGTTTGGGATGAAATGACTTAAAAAAAAAAAAAAAAAAAAAAAAAAAAAGAAAGCATCTTTGAAATGGGGAAGCTTGAGAATGAAACCCAAGCGTAAACACAATACCCACTTTACATATAACGCAGCTTATACATATACCCTGAAAGTAGTTTTATATCAAATTTAATAAATTTTGATTACATACAGATACAGTTAATGAGATTAGTCGGGTAATGCTCACATGAATTTTTAAGTGGTGAAATTAAGATTTCATGTAAAAAATAAGGTTTTGTACTTTCTGTATGTGTACAAAAATAAACATGATTACTACGTACGAAAAATATTTAAATGTAGGATTAACATTTTGAATAATATCTTTACTGAGCACAAAACAATTGGTAGTGGTCCACAAATGAATGTGTTGCTGTGACAATCACTAAGAAAAAAACTGTCGCCAACGTAGGCTACGTAGTTGGGCTTTCTGAAATTTTCCATTCATAGCAAGTCATGTGACCACTTGAAAAACTTTTGGATTTTAGAATTTCGGACAAAGGATACTTAACCTGTAATCTAATCCCGAGATAAGAGCAGGGCTGTATTATCCTTTAGGCTAGTATAGGCTGCAGCCTAGGGCCTAGAGCCGGATTATCCTTTAGGCTCTTTCAGGCTGCAGCCTACGATCCCACAAGTTTATATTAAGCAGTGATTTTAATGTTTTAAAAGTTATAATTTCTAAATAGTTTCATAAACTGAAATGATATCAATATGACAAACTCATATTTATTTTGATTGTTTTATTGTTCTAATACTGCTTAGAAAATCTGGGTTTTTTTTGGTTTTTTTAACTACGGTTGTGTTGAAATATGTGTTAATTTTGTCTGAAATAAATAGTAAAATGTTGATTTTTCTTAAAGAATATTTTTATTGATAAAAAAAAAAAAAAAAAAAAAAAAAAGATAAAAAAGTTAGCTATTCTTGTTTATTTAAAGAATTTGCAATAGTTTTACTACAAGCTATGTAAATGTCACTAAAATATATCAGAAGTAAAAAATATTCAAGACATGTGTTGGTAAGTTAGAAGGTGGCTTCGTCTGAGGGGGGATCCCATAATTTCATTAGCCTAGAGGCCCCAAATGGCCATAATACGGCCCTGGATAAGAGACATTATTTTCACTACATTTTGATTGATTGATTTGTTTATGGCTTACCAACCTTTTGAAACATATTTCTGATTATAGGAATAATTCTTTTTTTCTCAAGTGAATATTACAAATTCTTGAGGACAACAATGATTTTTATAGATACAAATCCTACTTTTTAACCAATAGCTAGAGGGATCAGATGGATTCATACCTTTCCCTAGGTTATTTGCATATAAGTGAATGTAATGAACTCAACCAGAATAGGAACTTAGCTATTACACTAAACACATATTCTTATTTTCACTACAAACAACTTGTTGAAAATATAGCTGCATTGATAACATCAAACAAAACAAAAGCAAACAACAGTTATAGAATTACATAATAAAATTTTGGGCAACATAATTTGGCCAATGTCGCAGGTAAAGGTTACTAACGACAAAATAATTTGTGGCTGTGAAGTAGATTTAGGAATTATATAGAAATAAATATAAAAAAGAAAAGAAAAAAGCAATAATGAAGTAAAACTAATTATGAAATATTAGCAATAATGAAAAGTTCATCATCCAGTTCACACCCCTCCCCAGTCTTTTGAACAGAAGTAGAGGTTTATCCTTTGTTTCCTGTATAGGATTGGGTTTCCGGTCCCTTCTAAAGTCTACTTCAACTCTAATGTTTCCGCCTGAACTCTGAAATTTTATTAGCTAATTAAATTGTGACCTCTTTAAGTCTAGAATTTGTCTATCTTTGATGTTATCTTGCCCTAACCCACCACACAATAACCTTCTACCTTGAGTGGCCCTTATATTAATATATAAAAAAAAAAAAATATTGTGCGAAAAGAAACTTTAATAAAATGTTTGAGCAATTGATTTGTATTTTATGGCTTATCAACCTTTTGCAGGTTATTTAAAGCCAGAAAATACTTTTAGACTTTCAGAATTTTGGAAAGATAATAATGGTTTTAGTAATAAAAATTCTAATTAACGCATAGCTCTTGTTAAAATGTCCTCCTTTACGCATAAGTGAATATAATGAACCCAACTGGAATTGGAACTCAGCTCTCTGATTTCCAATCTATCCACTACACCACCCACACATATATCAAAGCTTACAGCACTTGGTATTCCCAAGTGATCATACACCTGGGTACTGACCATGCTCGATGTTGCTTAACTTCGGTGAGCATACAGAAACTGGTGTTTCAAAGTGAAATGGCTATAAGCCACACATACAAGCTTACAGCCTCTGGTATTCCCAAGTGATCACACATCTAGATACTGACCAGGCTTGACATTGCTTAACTTCAGTGATTGCATGAGAACTGGTGTTTCAATGTGATATGGCCATAAACCCTTTAACAAGATGGATATGACCTACATATTAATCATGTTGTTACTATTATTTTATTATAGTAACAACATGATTCTTCTTGACATTAACTAAACCAGTAGTTCCCAACCTCTTTTGGACAGGCCCCACCTAAGCATCTCTAAAAATCCTGATGACCCAACTCCTGAGACATAATTCTTGTTATTAAAGATAGTGAACTCCTATTCACATGAATGAAGCATAAAAGACCATTAACTTAACTTTCATTAAGAACTTGAAACTCCATATATGCAATAGTATTATTTAATTATAGAGTTTTACAATATTTATAAAAATAGTATGTTACTAATATATAAAAAATCAGTACATACATAATTATACATGTACATACATACACACAAATATTTTTATGCATATGCCCCATATGTATTAACTTGCAAACATACTCATACCCTGATAGACACACTAGAAAAAAGTTCAGTTATATAACTCATTCCCAAATTGCCCCTTCATACCCTCCTGTGGGTGTGCTCTCCACATTGGGAGCCATGGAACTAAACCAAATTGAGGTAAATAGAGAGAAGATTGCATTGTGCCATTGTTTCAAACCAGTAAACCAGATTTTCAAATGCTGACTTCTAGCGGTAGTAAACCAGATTTTCAAATGCTGACTTCTAGCGGTAGTAAACCAGATTTTCAAATGCTGACTTCTAGCGGTAGTAAACCAGATTTTCAAATGCTGACTTCTAGCGGTAGTAAACCAGATTTTCAAATGCTGACTTCTAGCGGTAGTAAACCAGATTTTCAAATGCTGACTTCTAGCGGTAGTAAACCAGATTTTCAAATGCTGACTTCTAGCGGTAGTAAAACCAGATTTTCAAATGCTGACTTCTAGCGGTAGTAAACCAGATTTTCAAATGCTGACTTCTAGCGGTAGTAAACCAGATTTTCAAATGCTGACTTCTAGCGGTAGTAAACCAGATTTTCAAATGCTGACTTCTAGCGGTAGTAAACCAGATTTTCAAATGCTGACTTCTAGCGGTAGTAAACCAGATTTTCAAATGCTGACTTCTAGCGGTAGTAAACCAGATTTTCAAATGCTGACTTCTAGCGGTAGTAAACCAGATTTTCAAATGCTGACTTCTAGCGGTAGTAAACCAGATTTTCAAATGCTGACTTCTAGCGGTAGTAAACCAGATTTTCAAATGCTGACTTCTAGCGGTAGTAAACCAGATTTTCAAATGCTGACTTCTACGGTAGTAAACCAGATTTTCAAATGCTGACTTCTAGCGGTAGTAAACCAGATTTTCAAATGCTGACTTCTAGCGGTAGTAAACCAGATTTTCAAATGCTGACTTTCAAAAGAGAAATGACCAATGAGAAGAATGACACACACTACTGGATTTACCAGCAAATGTCATCCATTTTGTCCATGTCAAACACAAATGTGTAAGAACTTTACAACAAATATATTGTTTTCTTAAATTTACCTCATATTCAAAAAATCTGTCTTCAAGCGTCTTTTCTCCAGCATTTGTTCCGACACCTTCAAATAATTCTTTGTATTCCTGTCAAGAGAAACAATAAAATGAGGATATATCTAAAAAAGATGGAAAAAAAAAAAAAAAAAAAATCAAAATAAATTTACACTTTCTCTGAACAGAATTGAATGTTTTTTTATGAAACATACACTGCTTGCTGTTAACACACACACACACACACATATATATATATATATATATATATATATATATGCTAAGGTTGAATTTTTGAAAATTTAAGCGAGTGCATTTTTTTTAATAATATGGCAATTTAAGAATGGGGGGGGGTGTTGTAGGTGTTTATCAGTCAATGAGGTGACTACATGCTCCACAAGTTAGTATCCATTATCAATAACACATTTAAAAAAGAAAAAAAAAACAAAAAACATTTCAATTTGCATTATTTTTTTTCATCTCGGATGCTACCTGAATTTTACCAAAAACAAAATAGTTTCCATGCCTGATGATGGCCAGAGGAACCGTTGAAAGTACTTGCATATTTAAGGAAGACCTAATACAGTTTATAATTTTAAAAAACAAGGGTCATAACATTCATCAAGTGATTAGTGGATTAATGCATCTTTAAAATTTAGTTAGTCAAGGGGATTTCACCATTTTATGTGTTTTGAACAATAAAAAATATTAAAAAATTAAAATTTTCAGATACATTGGGTTTTATATTAATATTTTTCATTTTATTATTTCAATTAGATTCCTCAACTAGTTTCGGCCAGCATGGCCATTATTAGGAGACAAATGAAATTTCTGCTTGTTAGTAGCAGTGAACTAAAGGAATGAATCTTTTTCCTATATATGAATGAATTATATATGTGTTTGTGTGTGTGTGTGTGTGTGTTAAATAATTTATACATAGTATGTCTATTTTAGTTTTAATCCTTTCAAGCCCACAAGTTAATTTATTGGTAGCTGTAGAAAATTGATTAAGAAAAATTCCCAAATTTTCTTTCCAACAATTATTTTCCCAAGCATTTTCAATCTCATCTGAGACCATCTTCAGGTGTTACATATCTATTGATGTATTATACATTAATACCGTAAATTCAAAATTTTTTTTTTTTTTTTTTACCTCTATGCAAGGGAGGTAACGTGATTTAAAAAAAAAAAAAAAAAAAAAAAAAAAAAAAAAAATGACTGCATGATTTGTTTATAATTTATTCATTTGACTAAACAAATATCTAAAAAAAAAAAAAAAAAAAAAAAAAATATTTCTTCTACAGAAGAAAAAAATTGTTATGAATGCTTCCTGTTGCTAAAACAAAAAGATGTTTACGCATATGATGTACCATAGTGAAAAATTGCCAATTGTTTAAAATGCTGAAAACTTTACCTTCAATAAAAGGTTACAAAATTTAAGAAACATTGTATTTAATCTGTTATGTATGTGATTATCAATGAGAAAGTGTGAGTGAACAAGTGAGAACAAAGTAAAACAAAAAATCTTAAACATTTTCCTCATGAAATCAGACGTGTTGTCCAGAAAGCCAAATGGGCTGCATTCAGATTGTAAGCTACAGTTTGCCCCTGACTGTTTTAGGCCCTACCTCACTCCTGACCTACAAAGCAGAGTAAATGCAATCAAAATAGAAATTACCAGGTGCAATAACATTTAAAGAAAAAAAAAAATTTTTAAATATGGATAAAACTTACTGCATAATAATCAGCCACTGCTCTAACTTGATCGTAATCATCAGCTCTGGCCAACATGCTCAGGCCATCAGGGTAGAGCTTACCCAGTCGAGGATAAAGCTTGGCTCGATCATCTTTAGTCAATTCGGTTCCAAATGAGTTTATGGTAATAACGAATGCTCTTCGGTCAGCTTCAAACTAAAAACAAAGAAAAATAGAGATTTTTATATTTATATATATGAAGAAATATAGTTTTAAGGTGTGCTATATTTATGGGATAAAGTACTCAATATCAGAGATAGAACGTATGTAAATATAAAAGTGAACATTGAAGTCAACACTCAGAGGCAACAGGTTGTTTCATGCTACACGCAATCATCAGGTCAGCTGATGATTGCATCTAGCATGAAAGTGTGTCGCCTCTGAGTGTTGACTTCAATATTCACTTATATATAAATTAGTACAGTAACAGATGGATAATTCCAGCAGAGTCCAAACCAAGGGAAGATATTGCTTATGACAGTAACAAACATTAAATTTATGTCAAAAACATAACCAGTGTCATTAATATTGATAAATCTCAAATAGAAAACTAATTCTTTTATTCCTTGTCAAAGAATCTAGGATATTGTATTTTTTTTCTTTTTCATTATTTTACTCAAGCCAAAGCAATAAATTTAATACGCAAGGAATTACTGCATGTGAAAGTATATAAGAAAAAGAAAAACACTATTAAGCAAAAACAATAAAAGAACAGGAATTCAGACAGAAGATAACAATTGACATTGCATTTAAATTTTTGAAGATCAAACTTGATTGGAAAGCAAGAAGCCTGGAAGAGTTCCACAAGTGAGAGGTGCAAGAAAAGAAACTGATAGCATAGAACTTATGGTCATCAGATCAAACTGTACAAAAAACATAACAGATATAATCAAAATCCACAACAAAAAAAATGACAACCTACAAAAAAAACTGGATCCTATAAATAACTGAGACAACATGTCCACTGGGAAATTGCCAAATTACTATACAAGGCCAAGGTAAGTACAAACAACAACACTATGCACTACATTGGTATCCATTCAAGATGAGGAATAACAATCACAACCTTTCATTCAACAACAGGAAATATTCGAACACACTTTCTTATGGCAGCAAAAGACAAAAAACATCACACCAACAATAAGTTGGGAAATATTGAAAAAAGCCCCTGCCTACAACAACATTATTTAAAAAAAATGCCTACTTTGCCTACACGAAAAAAAGTAGCAATAATATCACACAAACCGCAAAAAGAACTTGCAAACAAAAAAATCAGAGATAATCTCCAAATGTAGGCATGAGAACAAGTATCTATTATCCGAATTCATGCCAAACGGATAAAACAGACAAACCACCAACAATCACAATTTAATTTCAAGATACCATCAAAATAATTGACCTATCATTATTATAATTGCACCACCATTAGTAATCACTTTTACCACCTCTATTAACTATCAATATTATCATTACCACCTACACACAGCACCATCACTTACACATCACACCACTATTAACATATAATCCACTACAATCTTTATATATTTAATACTTTAAAACAATATGATCAGATATAATTTCCATATGTAACCATGAGAACAAACACCTATTACCAAACCAATAATTTTGTAATTAAAAATTATAGCAATCTTCAATCACTATAATTTTACATAGAATACCTATTATCAGGATTTATACCAAAATAAATTAATACATATAACAAAATAAAACAAAAATAAAACACCAACAACCACTTTTTTAGTTCAAGCTACCACCACTATAACTACATTCATGGTTTTATCATTCTCCCACCACCGTTACTAATCATTTCTACCAATCTGCAATTTCTTCCAGTTTACAAATAACTATTAGCTAAAACCTAAATAGCATTGTCTCCAAAAAACATTACTATCACATCATATCATATAAACCCGTTATTAAATTAAACATCACCATATAAATTAAACAATAAGGACAATTTTTTAAGTTAATATACACAGTCACCAAAAACAAACAAATAACCAGCTTTAAATATAACAAATAAACCCCCCATTTTTTTTCAAAATTTAAAAATAAATATAAATAATTTAAATAATTTTTTACCTAAGATTGTACCACACATATATACATACATGCGGAAAATATTTTTCAAAACCTTCAAAAAAAAAAAAAAAAAAAAATTTCATAATATGACATGGATACATTCAGAGACAATAACGAGACATTTCATACACTTCAATGTTTAAATTTCAACATTTTCAAATACAAATGCGTATGTATAGACATTCAATAATGGATGAAAACTGTCTACATATGTTTATATATATTAAAAGTCCCGACGGACGACTAAGTTGTATATGTGTCTGCATTTTTTTATGTTAGTATTTTGAATGAAAAACAGTCTCCCCCACCACTTCCACAATAACACCAATACACGAATCTACAAAACCCAAATTTTTTAAAAACAGTAATCAGTTTGTCTGAGCCTAAATATAATATATCTATCCAACCAAATATATATATATATATATATATATATATATATATATATATATATATATATATATATATATATATATATAATAATAAATTAGAGTGTAAACATACAATGCAACCCCTCACCCAAGCTCTCTATTGACTGGCCACTGATTACCATATGTTGCATTTCGATTCTTGTCAGTATGCACTGAAAGCTTGGAAAGAGCCTGCTGCATGCTCACAAAGTTATGAGATGAAAGACAAATATTATGTTAAGAAATAAGAACAAACCATTTCACTATTATATGTAGAAAATATGTTATATTTTGCAATCAATGTTGAGAAACTAAAAACCTTTAATATTATAACTCATAACAATTATATTCACAGGAAAAAGACACTAAGTTTCTGAAAAATCATGACAATGTTTTGTATCTTTCCTAACAACAAGTAAACAATTTTTGTTGTGAGTATCTTGAGACAATCACTTACGGCTAAAGCTTCGCACATCACTTCAGCAGTTGCACCTCCCAATTCTTTGCAGAAATTGTAAAAATCTTCAAGATAAGCCTGGAAAAAAGAGAGACAAAGAAAGAGATATTAAGACTCAAATCATTATTTCTTTTAAAAATTTAATTTGTTAAAGACAATTTTAAAAGTAAATTATATTTTAATAAACCAATTTCAAATATATTCCAAGACTCTTGTATAATTTATTGACATACAGGGTGCAATGGGCAAATTGTCACCATTTTATACTTTTAATTTTGTGCATGCACATTGTTTGTTTTTGATCTTGTTGCCTGCACAGTATAGTAGGGTCAGTTGGGCACCGTCTGTAAGAAAAAGAGCACCATTATGCAGTTCACTCCACCAGAAATTTGAAAACGACGTTGTCCTGCTTAGCATTCACACCAAAAGCTCCAATACGAACATTTCAGAGTGTTTGGGTGTCAATATGAGGACAGTGAAGAGGATTCTGAAAAAGTTGGATGATATATCCAGTCACCATCATGGTGTTTGGAGTGATTACTCATGATGGTGACATTATACCTCCATTTATCTTCTCACAGGCCTCAGACTTAACACTGAGGCCTACATCAAATGCTTTGAGGAGGTAGTGCTTCCCTGGGTCAAGAGGGTGGCTGCTGGAAGAACCTATGTCTAGCAACAGGACTCTGCACCATGCCACACAAGCAGGAAACCCAGTCATGGCTGCCAGGCAATTTCCACAACCACACCAACCCTAAAGTAACACTAAAGATGAACTAAAGGCAAAGATTATGACAGCATTCACCAAATTAAACAAGGAGACAATCCAGAAGAGTTGCAGGAGATTCTGAAGTCATCTGGAGGCCTTACTTGAAGCCAGTGGCAATTTTAATGAATAAATTTACAGTTTAGTATTTCAAGATATTTTTGTGCAATTTTGGAAATATATCTGTTAAAATAAGATGTCATTGTTATTTTCATTTTTATGTAATTTAGATGACGATTTGTACAGGTTTTCAGAAATTAAAAATATGTGAGATATAAGCGGCATAGCCTACTTCATATATGAAATTGGATAGGCTTCTCCAAACAATACCAGAGATCAGTTTTGAAGTCTAGAGAAAACCCAACATTTTTGGGGGTTGATTGGTTGTCATGAACCAATAAGATTAGAGAATAAACATGGAATTTTTGTGGCATTGTTGATTTGGGTTGGACCTCATAGAAAAGGTTTTCCATTTAAACAGAACACAAGAAAGAGAAAGAGTAACCAATTCCAATTTGGGTCATGTATGATCACATCATGAACGTGATCCATGGCAGAAAGTAACCAGAGATCTGAATCAAATTTAATATCAATTAGGGCCTTTTGTTCTAAGAGGAGTTGATCCGTTTGGTTTGGTTTGTTTTACAGTAAACGGATCAATGAGTTATTTAATGCCGAAAATTTTTTTATTGAGGCAATATTTTGTGCCGACAAAATTTTTTTGCTGGTAATATTTTTTTTGTCAAAAATCTATTTCTGGTAATATTTTTTTCAAAAAATGTATTGCTGGTAATATTTATTTATTTTTTTTTTTTTTTAAATGTATTACTGGTAATATTTTTTTTTTCAAAATTTATTGCTGGTTTTTTTTTTTAAAGTATTTTGGTATTAAAACGTATTTTTATGCTTTCATAGTGTTTTTACCCCATTTTTGGGGTTAACTATTTGCCCATAGCTGGGACTCTAACAGGTGCTACCACCCTGGGTCAAGGTGGACCTGGGAACACCAGCAATTAAGAGGCAGTTCCACGCTCCTCAAAGCCTCCTGATCAGAGGCCTTGTTGCTGGACATAGTTTATCGTCTTACCCAGGACGGGAGTTGATCTGTAGGGACCCCAATATGTAGTGGGCTCCTTTAAGAGGTATCAAAGTAAACCGAACTTAGGATATACAGATACAAGACAACAGGATGACAAGTTATATAAACACCAAGGAGGAAGATAGAGTCCCTTACATTTTTTAGTAAGAAGATGTAACATTTATTCTAAGAAAAAAAAAAAAAAAAAAAAAATAGGTGCCATTAACTTGACAGGCAATAGGAGACTTTCCATAGGTATTTTATAGATGTAGAACTTGCAAAGAGCTTATTCAATCATTAACTTAAGACTGTAAGTCATCAGAAAATTCAAATAGAAAAACTGAAATTTTCACAATACTGCTTCTAATAATGATGATGAATAATAAGGGAAAAAAAAGAGATGTAGAAAGAGAAGATGAAGATAGCAAAGAAAAAGAACAACAATAAGTAAAAGAAGGTAGACAAGACAGAAAAGAAGGGCAATAATAATGAAAAAAAAAAAAAAAGAATTGGGGGGGGAGCAAGTGAATATTGCTTTAACAATTTTTTTGAGAATAACAATGATTTTTCCAGATAGAAGTCCTATTATTTAACCCATAGTTGGGGAGAAAAGATGAATTTATACCTTTCCCAAGAGTATTTGTGTGTAAGCAAATGTAATGAACCAGACTAGAATTCAAACTTGGCTCTTTGATTTCTTATTCCAAGCCACTGTTACACCACCTGCACATTCCCAGGGTGAGGACAGCCAAGAAGTACAATGATGATAATAATAGTGAAAAGAGGATAATAAGGAGAAGATGGGAATTGTAAAGTATAAGAAAAAAAGGTACCGAACAAAGTGGGGAAAATGGCAAAGAAGAATGGTAAAAAAAAAAAGGAAAAAGTACAGAATGTTGAGATGAGTGGTGTAATAATCACTAAAGGGACCGACATATGTATTCCCAGGATTAGACTTTACTACTTGGTAGTACCATAGTAGCAGTAATAAGGTTAAAATTATGAGAATAATTTTTAATGTTCCATAAAAATAGACATTTATCATATAAGTGATGTAATGGAATAACCAGTCACCCCCATGAATGATTACACTATAGGTAGTAAGTATCTATAAAGTCAACTGTCTATGAGAGACTTGAGGAAGAGTGAGAGAGAGAAGACGCAAGCACATCCAACCTTCCAATTAGTGGCACTCACTACTAGATTGACCTGTGTGTATAACTGTACCGTATTTCATATTGTACTTGTTGTGTACAATAAACCTTTCTTCTATTATCCACCTGGTGTTAAGTATTTATTCCCTTAGCATGGAATATAACAATAAGTACATGTGTTTTCCTGCAATTTCTGAAAGTCTGCTACCATGTGACGACCACCACGTGTTTATTTTTTTTTTTTTTTACTACTACTACTACAAAATTCTCTCTTAAAACAAAGGTCACTTTATCACTTTCTCAGTTTGTTCAAAACTGTTATTGTTTCTGTTTGAAAAGTGTTTTCTTTGTATATTTTTTTTTTTTTTTTTTTAAAAAAAAAGGTATTTTGTTTATCCATTTCACTTCTTGAGAGATTTATTTGTTAGTAGCTAAAAATCTACCCTATTGGGTGCCATTCAAGCTAGTCCCTGCAGAGGGCTCTTGATTGGGCCTTCATCACAATAGGTAAGGAGGAGTAGATCTGAGAGGGAACAATAAACTAAAGAAGAACTCAAAATTGATTGCTGCATTTAAGTATCGCATTAATATACAAGTTTACCTTTTAAATGTTTAATGATAATTCTTCTGTCGCCATTGAATTTAAAGACAATCTTTTCTTTCTATACAGGCAATTATTTTTATTTCATCAGTGACTTTCGCAATTAATTTCAATTATTCCCAAGTTATAAAAATTGTTATCATATACAAAAATATTTGCCACAAAAATCATAAAAATTTTATATATATATATATATATATATATATATATATATATATATATATATATATATATATATATATATATATTATAAACTGATTTATTTAAAATATAAGCACTATTTTGTAAAATAAAAATATCTATAAGAACACCGGATTATATATCTTGCTGTTCTTTCTTTCTTTATATATATTATATATATATATATATATATATATGTGACGAAAACAATCACAGTAATCATTTATTTCTAGTTTTCCGGAGTATTTCCTGAATAAAAGGATAACATCATTATGAAGTGAGGACCTTTTTCATTGGGACCAGTGGTCAGTTATAAGTGGTCATAATTAAGAAGGTGAAAAAAGTTGACCACAGGCTCGTACTGTATTAACAAAACAATAGAAATAAGATTCTTCATGGCGAGAGAGACTTAAAATAAATAAATTCAACATTCAGAACTTTCTCTAGCTCATCACGTTAACTTGACTGGCAAAGATTTGAAATATTGATTGATTGATTGATTGATTTGTTCCCCACAGCTTATCAACTCTTTGCAAGTTATTTAAAGCCAGGAAATATTTTTAGATTATAAGAATTTTTTGGTTTTGTTTTACATAATAATGGTTTAGTAATAAAAGTCTTAATAATTAACCCATAGCTGCGCGAGAAAAAGCAGATTCATACCTAATCAGAATTTGATAAATAAACAGGAAATTCTAATGTGGATATAAAGTGGGGGATCAATTCTATATAACACTCAATATATGAAATGATCCCTCAATTTATGGCCGCAACAGTTTCTACACATTTATATTCCAGAGAATGTAAATAAATCTAAAAGATATGCCTGTGTAGCTAATCAGTATTTGATTAATAGTCTGATTCATTTACTACTGTTTATCAATCCTTTGCAGGTTATTTAAAGCCATAAAATATTTTTAGATTCTAAGAATAATTTTTTTTAAAAATAGTAATGATTTAGTGATACAAGTCTTACTAATTAACCCATAGCTGGGAGGAGAAGAAATGGATTCATTCCTTTTCCAAGGGTATTTGTGTGTGACTGAATATAACAAACCCAGTGAGAATTGGAACTTGGCTTTCTGATTAACATTTCTGAGCACATTTCCATCATTGGAAAGTTTCCCATAAAAGGTAAAAAAAAAAGAGAATTGTTCATTACACCAGTGTCCATCACACTAACTAGACATCCAAGCTTACAGCACCTGTTATTCCCAAACAGTCACCCATCTAAGTACTGACCAGGTTTGATGTTGCTTAACTTCAGTAATCATATGAGAATGGGTGTTTCAGTGCGATATAGCCATAAGTCAAAGATCTGAAATACTTCTTATCAAGTTAGTAACTGTTACACTAAGCATGATGACATTCAAGATCAAAATTAAAATAACTCACCTTATACAGTGTATTTCTGATAATTTCTACATTCATCTCGTTAAGATCTTGTTCAGAAATGCAATCAATGAAATATGGAGCTGAAAAAGAGACATTATTTTACGATTAAAAGGCTTTACACCAAATTCATCTCAATAGGATGAAGCATATTTTAAGGAGATGCTTTTGTACCCTATTTGCCAGCTGAGAAGATGCAAGGATATATGGAAAAAAAAAAAAAACTTCTCACTGTAATTCATGAAAACCTGTCCACTTTTTGTTTTCACAGACAACTTCCTAATCATAAATACCAACATATTAAATGCAGAGCAATATTCAAGAGGAAGTTCATGTTTTAATAGAAGTCAGTGATATGTATGTGTTTTTTTTTTTAGCAAATGAAAATTGATCCTGTTCAGTAATTCAACTATTAAACTATTGTGTGTTTGTTTCTCTGTGATTTAAGTATGGATAGTGAATCTGAGAAAACTATGAAGTTGTCTGAAGACAGGTCTATGTCTATAGCTTTTGCATTAAAAACAGACAATTTGTCAGAATGGATGAACATCTGACATTATCAAAGGTTTTATATATATATATATATATATATATATATATATATATATATATATATTTTTATTTAATTATTTATTTAATACTGTTTATTATAAACAGAGCATTTACTTAAATACTTGTATCTATAAAAAAGAACGTTAAACATAAAAATGTCTTTTAATATATATATATCTATCACACACAATGCAGCTAAATGTAACATAATTTATACAAAACAAATACTTTAAACTAAACAAATAAGATAACACACACCTGAGAAAAATAAAATAAACAAAAAATATAAATAAACAAAATTACAAGTTTAAATCTTTCTCCTTATACTTCTGTATAGTCAAAAGGCTAATATAGAAAAAAATATCATAAAATTTATTGCCAATATTATCTTTTTATTCCCCAAATTTTATTAACTGGCCTATTAAATCTACATATAAGAACCACACATGGACCATCTTTCATTTTTTATATATATATATATATATATATTTGTTTATTATGCAGGGTTACATTAGAACATGCACATACAAAACTGTACATCTTGTTTCAATGTTAAAAAAAGAATTTACAGGGGTGACACAATGTCACCCCCAACAAAATTTTTTCAACCAGGCTAAGGTGCCAAAATTAGTCTGAAAACAGTGGTGGAGACACAGGGTTTCGCAGGCAGGCATATGACCCCCCCCACCAGAAATAATTTATGACCCCCCCCCAGTTTTGTCCCCCATCAGAAATTTTCTAATAAATTGTCGGGAAATTTGTCAGTAGGAAAAATAGCAATGTTTTCAGCTTTCATGAGTTTCAGTTGCTTCAATCTTGGTTACTAACAAGAGACATTGTTGTAACATTTTATCGGATGATATGGTGTTTTAACTCTGCATCATTAATAACAACAAAACGAAATACGAAGCCAAAAGTGCAACAATTTCAGTTTTGCTAGTGTATCAATTCACTGAGATACAATTAATTTTCCATTGAGTGAGCGATATACTTTTGAATATATCTACTAGTGTTGGGACGATTAATTGAATCAAGAATCGGAAAAATCGGAACTTTTTGGGGGTATCGAAAACGGTATCAGAATCGGAAAAAAATTTGTGACTGTTTTCCGATTCCAAAAATTCTTTTTTAAATTTTTAACTTAATTTTCCATTATTGGTACTAATGATAAATATTTATTGTTTTTAAATTATCACTAAAATTAAAATCATAATAACATCAAAATACAATGTAAATTTATTTTACTTGTATAAAGAAAACAAAAAAATAAACTTTGCATAAATTCTCTAGGTAACCTTTAAAAAAGAATGCAGTTGATTTACAATGTTCCGAAAAATGCTTAAAAATTAAATAGAACGTTTTGTCAAGAAAAATACTTTCAAACATCATTGATAATTAAATAGTACTCACAAAATGATGCAACGGAAAATTGGACACCGGAAAATTAGCAACAGAAAATTACGTCAACCATGAGCCATTCGAGACTGTCGGATCTGGCTGTGCTGTCCATTGAAAACGAGCTTATAAGACAAACAGATTTTGACGATGTCATTGACCAGTTTGCCACAATGAAAACAAGAAAACATTCATTCTAAGACCATAGTATCGAATGTCATTCTTTTGTGTATTGCCGTGTTTTGTATTTAGTTGTTCTGAAAGTGAACAGTTGCATTTTAAAAAATCTTTTGATTTGAACTGATTATTTTGTGGTATTGGATTTTGTCTTGGATCATACATGTAAACAGTAATGTACCGGTCAGTAGAGTAAAGTAGAGGTAGAGCATGTATGAAAATTTAGGTACAGCTCACCATTCAGTGTAGGGTGAATCTGGGTTATTGGGGTGACATTTGAGCAGACCTCCTCGGGTGACATTTATTCTAGCTACGCCACTGATGCCAGCCATATAACTTATATATATATATATACTGAACCCTATTTAAATGTGGACTCATCTTTGCTGTGGTTATCAATTAAAATATTCGGTGTTTAGACCTAACAGTCAATTCAGGCGAAATACTTTTAAAATGACCAAACAATGAAATTCAGAATCAAAAAAACAAGAAAAACTGTAGATATATTTTATAGTCCTTTTTAAAAAAAAAAGAACAAGCTCAAAATGTTTGAATTTAGGACATTGAATGTCTATGGAAAGGAAGAAAGTTCGTGGAGGTTGAACTTGAATTAAAAAAAATAAAATATTTGATATATATATATATATATTTACTTAAAAATTTGCAGGTCACCCATGGTTCGTTTTTTTTTAATTTGTGTCAGGAAAAGTAGTTGACCCTTTTCTGCCATTGAATGGGACTGCCTTTTATTTTACATGTTTAAAAAAGTTAGTCCGATTGGTTTTTTTAAATTTTTTCATTTTTTTTTAATTTATCCCAAATGGAAAAATCTTTTATGAGCCTATTTTGCTCTCGTTAAAATTTCCTTTTTAGTCGGGGATTACTGATGGTAAATTTCCGTTTATCAAAGCAGGGCAAGATCTCATCTTGTAACATATTTCAGACATTGTGTAACTGGTCTTCATCAGGTTTTTGCCATTTCAAGTAACTCAAGGTTTGGTTTTTTTTGGTTTGTTTTACGGCATATTCAACCCTCAATGGGTTATTTAAAGCTGGCAAGATTTTTATTTTTGGTAATTTTTTTGTATAAATCTATTACTGGTAATGGTTTTTTCTTCAAAAAATTTATTAATGGTAAAATTTTTAAAAAACCTATTGCTGGTAAAAAAACCTATTTTTTACCCTCATAATGTTTTCCCCCAGGGGGGTTAATTGATCAAGGTCCACCCTGACCCGGGTTGGTAGCAATGTTATAGGTCCCATCTGCCCAAATAGTTAACACCCAAACTTGTGCTACCACCCCAACATTTTGAAATTCTGCTTTCGTGAACTCTGTATTAAATAATAATGTTGTGTTATCAATCATGTAAAATAACATTTTCTAAACTTAATAAAAATAAATATATATGAAATATCAATTTCCTGCCTACAAAAAAATTTTCAAAAGGATGGTTTTTCCTTGACAAAGCTTTTATTTTAAATACCTTCAGGGCTTTGGCTTTGTTTATTGTTTTAAAAATTGCAATGATTACTAAAGTCTAAACATATGAAAGTGAAACTATATTTTTTCTTTTGTTCTTCAGTCAATTTTACAACAAAAATAATTTTAAATTTTTTAAAAGATTATTTATTTACACTATTTATTTATTTATTGGAAATGGTTTCAAAATATCGCTTAATTGCCAACTCCTTCAAAACACCATAAAATGGTAAATAATAAACGATTTCCTGGTACAGTTGGTTTCCATATTTTAACAATTTAGTAAATGTTTATAAATTATGAATAAAAAAAATGTTTTTATTTTATTTCTATATAAATTGGTTAAAAAATGATAAATATTGCATTGCAATATTTTTAATTCAAACATATTTTTTTTAGAATATTGTAAATATAAAATTACTCTTGCAAATAAGAAATCTAATAAATAAATAGTATTTTTGATTTTTATTGGAATGGTTGGCAAAAGATCATTAACTTAAATTGATTCAAACTTTATGAAATGGTAAATAATAAAGATTTCCATAGTTGATTCACATATTTTAATAATTTAGTAAATGTTTATAAATTTAGAATAAAAAAAATTTCCATATTTATTTTTTTAAAATTGGTAAATAAATAATATTGCATTAGTTCTAATTGTAAATAGTTTTTAGAATGTTGAAATATAAAATTAGTCTTAGTAAATAAACAATCTAATAATTATATAGTGTTTAATAATTTTATTGCAAATTCTTAACAAAAAATATATATAAATTCAATTTCATCGTATGTTTATGTTTTATTACAATTTTATTCATCAAGGGTTTTAAAACAATAAACATTTCCGAATAGTGTAAGTAGTTAAGATAATAATGGTGTCAAGTGAAAAAAAATGTCCATTTGACACTAAGCCATTTTAAATTGGTCCAAGTTTGCCATCATTTCAAATAACTAGAAAGTGGAATTCTTGAATTAAAGGATAAAAAATAATGTATTTTTGTAAATGTTTTTCTTGAATTTTATGTTTTTCTTTTTTTGAGAGGGTGGTGAGTAATGAAGTTTTTGAAGATTTAGTCAAATTTGAGTACAGTTGCTTATAATTGAGTTATGGATAAGAAAAAGTTTAATTTTAAAATAGTTTATCAAGTTCAAAATCTGTCAATACATATAAAGGGTTTTAAGCAAAAAAGTTCAAATTTTAATAAAATCAAAACATATTAAAAATTTACAAATATTTTTTTGTTAAGTATTTGCAACAAAAATATAAAAAAAAAAAAAAAAGATTATTTATTGAAATGGTTGTGCAAAACATTTGTTTCAATTTGAACTTCATTAAATAGTAAATAATAATACCAGTAAAAATTGTTGATTCATATCTTTTAATAATTTAGTAAATGATATAAATTTATAAATAAAAACCCAGGTTTCACATTTATTTCTTTATAAATTGGTTTCGGATAAATATTGCATTGCATTAGT